ATTTTACTTGGTAAGATTCTTGAAATAAGAAAAAAATTGAGTCAAATCAAGTATTTCAAGAATCTTACCAAGTAAAATTTTCTTACTCCACTGGCAGATATTTTTGACTTAGAGTCAAATTTTCAGGCTAACAAGACAAATAATTCAATTCAATTCAATTCAATTCAATTCAAAAATGTATTCATTTCATTAAAAATACTATATACAATAATAAAAATAAAGCAAAAAGATATACAAATCAAAATAAACTGAAAAGTAGCAGAAGAAGAATGAATCTTATTATGTCTGCCCCTTTTTGACCCAGAATATATTCAAACAAAACATAATTTAAAAAACAATACTCATCAACTAATCTTACACATTCTGAAAACAAGATGATTATTCTTACACAATCAGTTCTTGTTTAGTAAATCAGTCTGAAAACAAGATCAAAAAGATTTTTTTTGGCTGATATAAGATTTTAAAACTTGGTTAGGTGGACAGTTTTTGCAGTGTAGCTGTCTTTCTGAGTATAAAACACTAAATCTATTAACATTTTATTGTTATTTAGCACAGTGTTCTTACATTTTTCTAATTCTCATTAAATGTTATCTAATATATGTATATTAATTAATTAATTTATAATCATATAATCTTACTTGGTTGATAGGCACTTCTATATAAACATAATTTTAGTGTCTCAAATTTTACAATGATTGAAAAAGTCTAACCTCACAATCAATGAGGCGTAGGGAGGACAAATGTCTTGCTTTTAAAATCTAATTTAAAACATCAGCATCTTCAAGTGTGGCACCAAACTGATGAGCGACAGGACAGGCCAGGCTTTGCTTTTAGCGCCCTCTGGTGGTTAAATTATCAGCGGCTCCTGGTCGGTGTTGTGCCGGAAAATGCACCCACGATAGCGGAAGCTCATTTAATGCAATGTTTTCCACAAATAACAAAAGATAACAAAAGTGGGAAACTAACACATCCTTTTCATAAACCTTTATTATATTTTAACACATTAATTTTAAATAATTTAAGTCCAAAATGTAAACTTAATAGCGTGACTGTCAGGATTCATGTGTATGTTACAAAAATAATAAAAACAAATAAACAAGTTCATAGAATATGCAGTTAACAACAACAACAACAACAACAACAACAA